TCTGCTGGGGTAATGATAGTTATAAAGTGCATAGAGCGTGATGTGGAAAATGACCTGCTGCAAATTCATGAAATGAAAATGTTTTGACTTTAAAAAGAAAGGATATCCTTTTATTATCAAAATGACCTGCTGCAAATTCATGAAATGAAAATGTTTTGACTTTAAAAAGAATCAATTCAATGTGTGGTTTCATGATATTTTCAAAACGTGTAAGGTATTTAATTTTTAAAATCTAGAAGCAGATACTCCTACCGTCGTCCTTCCCTAGTATGACCCAGCAAATTTGATAAAGTAGTAGATCTAGTGGAAATTCCTTCCCCAAATTCAAAAAGAACAGTTTCAGATTTGAATCATGGTCATCCACATCCAAAAAGGTAACATCAAAACGGATGAAGCGTCCAAAAAATAGGTAGAAGAATAAACAAATGATAAAAATTGGAAACAAATAAAATAACAACTATAACTTAATAAGAGACACCCACCGTCTCAAGATCACAATCGAAGAAATCGCCTGAAAACTCAGAAATGAACACAAGTGTCTGTGGTGAATAAAACACAGAATAGCAAGACGTCTACACTCACTGATAATCAAATCGAGAATGATAATGAAAATCCGAAAACTACTGTCTCGAGCCTCTCTTTGAAGGTACGCTACTTCGCAGTACGTTTCGAAACACAAAAAACTCATAAAAACTTCTTGTCGTCAGCTGATTACGCGTCAATAGTTGGTCACGGACATTGCCATGCCCCGAAGCGTACGTCTCGCTCGCCTCTCACCCACTGGCCAGGAGGCCGAGGCAGACATGTTTTTTTAAATTTTCTTTTACAAAGCACAGCAAGCGTTGTTATATAATTATAAGTTGGGTCACCATCAAACGAAACCTTTGCAGCTTCTTTGCAGACTCAACTGCACTCGATGGCAGTGGCAGCCATTGATCGAATTAATAACGAGAAAGAAACAAAAAATTCGACTGGGTTGAGCCTCTCTTTGGAGGTACGCTACTTTGGTGAGTAGTTCGAAACCCAAAGGATGACCAAAATACTTGTTGTCATAATGTTGTCAACAGACTACGCCTGAAACTGCTGACAACTAGAAGGGAATTTTTGCGAGAGACGAAGAAGGACCACTGACAACAAAAGCAATTAGCCTATTAAGCCGATCGATAGTTGGTGGATATTTGGCCCTTTAATGGGAAGAACACGTTATTTAACCACGTGGTACATTCGTTCGAATTGAGAGGTTAAAAATTATATATAAAGTCTTCTAGTTTCCCTTTCCGTTTTGAAAAAGAAACAAACAAGCAAAACCAAAATCTGGTTGTGCCCGGCTGCGTCTAAATTAAATGAATTCAATTGAGAGTGTGCACTTAAGCATTAGCTTTGGTTAAGAGGCGCTCTGATCCCCAGTATTGAGGAAACCCCTTGCTCTCTTCCCCATTTTAATTCAATTACAATCACAAAGGAGGCTCTCAGCTAACAGAAACTAGGCGGGAATTGACAAAACGAGGGCGGGAATTGATAAAACATGGACCTTCACTGATGCTGAAACCTGTGCAACTGGTCGTAACAGGTGTGTTCACAAAAGGCCCCAGACAGTCAGGGTTGGTGATTTTTTTGATTTTTTAAATAAAAATTTAAAAAATCGATTTTTAAAAATTTTAATCAGATTTTTTAAATTTAAATCGGATTTTTTTTATTTTAAAAAAAATGTCGACACAGTTTGGGATTTTTGGTGGCTAAAAGTATGTTCTTTTAGTGCAGAATGCATTGTCTTTATTTCAACTAATGATTAATATAAGCAACTGCGAAAGAAAGCCTTAATCTGCTATTATCAGTGAGTTATGGCTACAGACAAAAATGAAGAAAATGTCAGTCTAAAAGGAAAGGGGGGGGGGGGGGGGGGAGGGGGTAATTATGCATAGATAGAAAGGAATTCTAAATGTTTAAAGACGTAAAAACAATACATTTTTTAAAAGTGATTTAAATCACCGAGCTTTATTTTTAAAATCAAGTTGATATAAATATAAAAAATCAACGGATTTAAATCGACCTGATTTAAATCAACCCAACCCTGGTTTTCAATTATGAAAGGAAAGAAAATTGAATACCGTATTATTTTACATTGAGGGGGGGGGGAAGCAGACTTTTAAGCATGATTATATTAGTCTACTAAACCTTATATCTGTTAAATAAAACAAAGGAAATGAATTCTGAATGTTTAAATATGTAATAACAGAATATATTTTTTTTAAAGTGATTTAAATCACAAAATCAAGTTGATTAAAATAAAAAAATCAACAGATTTAAATCAAACAAGCTCTGATTTCAATTATGGGAAAAAAAGTAAGTTGAATACTGTATTATTTTACAATGAAAGGGGGGGGGGCAGACTTTTAAGCATAATTATATTAGTGTACTTAACCTTATATCTGTTTTATGAAACCTAGGAAAGGAATTCTGAATGTTGAAATATTTTAAAAAATGACTAAAAATACATTTTTTAAAAAGTGATTTAAATCACTGATTTTTATTTTAAAAATCAAGTTGATTTAAATAAAAAAAATCAACTGATTTAAATCAACCCAACCCTGCAGCCAGTCCGACTGATTGTTACGCCATGTAGTCCTTATACAACCGGGCGGCGTTTTGCTTCTTGTGTTGTACTATTTTTAGCTGACTAGCTGGTTTTCGTTAAGGCTACAATGGTGTGGTTATTGCACACTTTGAAAGCCATTCTTTAAAAAAATAACAACCCAAGTATATTTATTTACACATTGCAATCTAACTACAAGCACCCTCCACTCCAGCCCTTCCTAAAATAAGACGAATCTTGTCTGCTGTTGGCATACACAAGATCAACATTGCGTCTACCAGAGCACGTGGGTAGAGTTTGTCATATTAAAGTTCAAAACGTCACATAGCATATCATTTGCAGTTTTAAGAATATTAAAGCTGATAAGAGCAGCACTTCGCTAATTTGATAAAATAGTGGTGGACATTTTTCCCCAAATTCAGAATGAAGCGTTTAAGATTTGAATCATGGTCATCCACAGCATAGTTCAGAAAAATGACATCCAACATGACGATGTGGCCAACAAATAGGTAAAGGAATAAACAAAATAAATACTGGAAACATAATATAACAATGAAATAACAAGTGACCACCTACCGTCTCAAGGTCACAATTGTAGAAAACGCCTGAAAACTCAGAATTGAACGCAACTGTCTATGATGAATAAAACACAGAATAGCAAGACGTCTACACACGCTGATAATCAAATCGAGAATGACAAAGAAAATCCAAAAACTACTTGCTCGAGCCTCTCTTGGAAGGTACGCTACTTTGCTGCACGTTTCAAAACACAAAGAAAACTACAATTTTACTGTCTGTCGTCAGCTGATTACGCGCCAATAGTTGGCCCAGGACATTGCCACGCCCCCGAGGCGCACCTCTCGCTCGCCTCTCACCCACTGACCCTAGGAGGCCGAGACAGACATGTTTTTTGTGGCTTTTTTTTATTTGACATAGAACGACGAACGTTGTTATGTTTTTTAAAAGTTGGGACAAAACCAGACCAAAAGTCTACAGTAGGATTTTTTTATTTTTTGTGTGCAGATTACAAGTGTTATCGTTGGCAGTGACAGCCGTTGATCGAATTGATCATAAGAAAGAAACCAGAAAAATCTACTGGTTCCAGCCCCTCTTTGAAGGTACCCTAATTTGGTGAGCAGTTCGAAACACAAAGGATGACCAAACAAACAAACAAACAAACAAACAAACAAATAAACAAACAAACAAACAAACAAACAAACAAACAATCAAACAAACAAACAAACAAACAAACAAACAAACAAACAAACAAACAAACAAACAAGTATATTATGAGGGAGAAGGGTGCTGTCGACTATAAGTGGATTCCATTAATTCCATGAGTAGAGTAATTGTTTCTGGAAAGATAGGAAAAGTTTGTACCCATGAGGATGGTTGGTGGGTCTCTGATGGTGTGGTTTGCTCGTACTTTCCTATGAAACATCTCTCCATTTTTATGTTTGTTACTTTATTCTAACACCTCTGATCTTAGGCACTTACAATATAATGACCTATTTGTGTTGCAAGTGCCGTAAAAAATCCGATGTTTGTACCCCTTATTTCAGTCTCATACCGGACATCCGTAGGATCACATTACACTGGGCTATGGTTCGAATGCTCTGGATGTGGATAAAAAGGTTTGAATCTGTTCGATAGTGCATGATGTATTCGTTAATGCCCAGCCTTATTTGGTTACTGAGAAACATTAACACCGGTCCTCCTAGGCACTACCTCTCAGACGCTTGAACTGTGTGTAAAGATTAACTTTAAGCGGTGCTCTGTTATCTTGGT